TTTTATTCTAGCAGTGTGACAGTTTGGGGTTTTCATTACACCTTTATTTTAATTGTTTATTAAAATGTAATTTTACAGATGAGGTCTCATTACATAGCCTAGGCCAGAGTGCAGTGGCATGAGTGTGGCATTCTACAGCGTTGAACTTCCAGACTCAGGTGATCCCCCAAGTAGGTAGAACTATAGGTGACACCACTGTATAGGCTTTTTAATCCGTTTGAGTAAATTTTTATATGTGGCAAGATATAGGGTTCTAATTTTATTTTTCTGCGTGTAGCTCTTTTGTTTTACCAGCACCACTTATTGAAGAGACTGACTTTTCTCATTTTGTGTTCTTGTCACCTCTGTAGAATATCAGCTGGGTATACATGTGTGGATCTATTTTTGCTCAGTGTGTTCTGTTGTATTGGTTTATAGCATTGTGATGCCTCCAGCTTTGTGGGTTCACTCCCCAACCCCACTATCATCTTCTTTATTGCTTTGGGTATTCAGGGTTTTTCATGTGTGTGCTTTAATATTAATTTAGGATGTTTTTTATTTCTGTGAAAAATGTCATTAGTGTTTTAATAGAGATTGCATTGAATCTGTAGACCTTTTGGGGTCATATAAACATTTAAGCCATATTACTTTTTCTAATTGGTGAACATAAATAACTTTCAATTTATTTATGTTATTTTAATTTTTGGCTAATGTTTCCTAGTTTTCAGAATGCATTTTTTATACCTCCTTGGTTAAATTTACTTTTAAGGTTGTTTTGTTTTTTCCCAAAGCTATTGTAAATGGGATTGTTTCCTTGAGGTTTTTTTAATAGATATTTTGCTATTCATGTATGAAATGCTACTTAATTTTGTACATTGATTTTGTTAACTGAAACTTTACTGAATTTCTGAATTAGTTCTACCTGCTTTTTGGAGGCATTTTTAGGAATTTCCACATTATGTCATTAATCAATATCGATAATTTTACATCTTTCTTTTTAATTTGGGTACCTATTTTTAAATTTCTCTTGCTAAAAACTTCCAGTGCTATGTTTATAAAATAAATTCCAGTATTATATTTAACCAGTTAAAATGAACATCCTGGTGTTCTTTCAGGTCTTTGCAGAAAACTTGTCTACTTTTAACTCTCATTGAATGTGATAGTAGTTGTGGGTTTTTCATGTATTGAATTATTTGGTTATTCTTGTCTATGTTATTTGTTATGTTGAGTTACAATTATTCTATGCATAAGTTATTAAGAGATGTTTTTAAAAGATGTTAAATTTTGTCAAATGCTTTTTTTACTTATTGAAATGACTGCCTGGATTTTGTTTTTCTTTTATTTTGTTCATGTAATGTATGACATTTAATGATTCTTGTATATTAAACCATTCCTGCATTCCTGTCATGTCTCTTGATCTTGGTGAAGGATTCTAAATGTGCATTATGAGTCAGTTTCCTGGTATTTTGATTACGATTTTTACATTTGTTACTCAGGAATATTGGCCTGTAGTTTTTTTGTCTTTTCTGTTGTGCCCTTGTCTGTTTTTGAAATCAGCATGACCTGCCCCATGGAATGAAACAGTTCACATATCTTCTTTTTTTTTTTTTTTTTTTTTTGGCTAGATTAAAAAGAATTGGCAGGAGTTCTATTTCAGGGGTAGCTAGAATGCAGAGTGAATCCACTGGGTTCCTGGGCTATTCTTTAAAAGTTGACTTTTCATTGCTGATTTGATTATTTATTATGAATTTGTTTCTGGGCACCAGGTAAGATACCTCCTTTTTTGTCTCTGGTTATATTTTGTAGGGACTTTTTTTTTTACTTTTGATTTTAGCTTTTTGTTTTCCTAATTCCTTGATTGAATCAAGTTTCATATTTAATATGTTCTTTTAAATATTATGTTTTCTCTTTAATGTTTTCACTGACTCAGAAGTATGTTGTTTAATTTTCATGTACTTTTGAATTAGTGATTTCAGAAGAAATACTTGATATGAATTTGATCTCTTTAACTTGATTGTATTTTTGAATTAATGTATGATAGATACTGGAAAATGTTCTATGTATTTAGTAGAAAAGAACGTGTATTCTATAGCTCTTGGATAGATAGTTCTGTAACTGTTTTGTCCATTTGCCCTGCAGCGAATTTTAGTTCAGTGTTTACTTATTGATTTTCTGTGTGCATAATCTATTCATTGTTGAAAGTAAGGTCCTGAAGTTTTCTATTAGTATCTTGCAGTTTTTTTCTCCATTTGGATGTATTAATATTTACATTATATGTATGTATATATTAATTATATAGGTGTATTTCTGATATGATATTTTCTTTTTCCTCTGGCTTAATTCTGTATCATTTCTGTGTCTTTAATATTTGGTGGTTTGATTTTATTAAGTATGAGGATATTCTTATTTGGATTGAATCTGATTGGAAGCATTTGACACTCCTGTACCTACATATTTATATTTATATTTAGGCTTGAAAAGTTTTCTGTTATTGTTTCTCTAAATAAGCTTTCCACATTTTTTTCTACATACACTTTTTTTTTTGAGACAGAGGTTTGCTCTTGTTGCCCAGGCTAGAGTGTAATGACATGATCTTGGCTGATTGCCACCTCTGTGTGCTGGGTTCCAGTGCTTCTTTTTCCTGAGCCTCCTAGGTAGCTGGTATCACAGGTGTACACCACCACACCCAGATCACTTTTATATTTTTAGTAGAGACTTTTATATTTCACCACTTTGGGCAGGCTTGTCTAAAACTCCTGATCACATTTGATCCACCTGCCGCATTCTCCCAGAGTGCTGCAATTACAGGCATGAGCCACTTTGCCCAGCTTGACCACGCTCTTGAATACCGGTGACTAACACATTTGTTCTTTGGATATTATCCCATAAGTCCTATGAAGTTTCTTTCTTTTTTTCCTTTGACCGTGTATTTCAATGGACCTGTCCTTGAATTTTTCTGCTTGATCACTTCTGCTGTCAATGCTCTCAACTGCATTTTTAATTTTGTTGTGGTTTTGTCTTCAAGATTTTTGTATTTTTCTCACATTATATTATCTCTCTGTCAAGTTTCTCTGATAAATGTCTGAATCATTTGTGTTTTCCTGAAGTCCACAACATTGTCTTAAAATAAATATTTTGAATTTTTTGTCAGGCCATGTATCCATGCCAGTCTCTTTTGTGTCAGTCACCACTGGCACCTGATTTTGACCACGTGGTGCCATCATGTATCTCTGATAAATCCTGATCCTTGTGACTATGCATTGATTTCTGCACAGTGATGTGGGTGCCTGATTCAGTGTTCACAGTTTGGCTATTTTTGGATATAAGCCTGTCCAAAAATTAGGGCAAGAAGGAAATTAAGGTCTTTAAGTTTATGATAGCTTGAGCCCTGGTAGCACTCGGGGAAATCTTGACATCCAGATATGGATGGTTGGAGTAATTTGGTCACCAAAGCTGACTCAGTACTGAGTTGAACGCTGGGAGCACTCAAGTACAGGTTGCGCCTGTAGCCCTGTTGAACACTGAGCACTCAAGGCCTGCAGCTGCCATGGTCTGCCCTCTCAGGTTTATTCAGGCCTGAGGTCACTTCAGTCAAGCAGTAAAACTATTGACTGGAACTGGAGTACATTTTGCTGAGGCCAATTTCTCATCTGTTGCTGGGGTGGGTCTGGAAGCTTGCCCCTTGGTTTCAACCTCCCAAAATGCTAGGGTGAGAAGACAGGCAAATATCAGTCCCAAGACAAAGTCCTATGCTTATTTCCTGGGATCAAGAATCCTCCCAGCTCAGTCTCCTGAATAACTGGGACTAGAGTCATGTGCCACCATGCCTGGCTAAATTTTGTAGCAACAGGTTTATACCATGTTTCCCAGGTCAGTCTGGAATTCCTGGGCTTGCGTGATCCACTCACCTCAACCTACTAATGTGTTAGGATTACAGGTATGAGTCACCACATCTGGTCAATTTTACTTTCTAAAATTTAAATTTTAGGTTACTTATTTTTATGCAATCTTATTTCTCATAAATGAAATTTAGGATGCTAATGATTTAAAGTTTCATTTTGAGTTTTCCTTAAGGAATAAATGGAGTGTTGATGCTCATTTTCTAAATAGTCTTAGAAAATAAAAAAGTAATTTAGATGAGAAATGACAATTTGACCACTTTTTGTTTTCTGGCTTCATTTCATTGTGTATGAAGAGTGTATTTTTTTAAACCTGCATGTATATGTGCAATGAGTTTTTACTCTTTCAACTGAATACAGTACAAAATTGTTCAAACAGACTATGCCATGACTTCATAACTTAGGCTTTCTTCCATGTGCTTATTTGTCTAATTATTAAAAGAACAATGTTGAAATTAAATTTTGCTCATTAAGAATTTTCTGATAAAATTACATTAATAGACACACACATATGCACACACTCACTTCTAATTTCTGGAACTTGGATTGTTCTGTTTCTCTAGTACCTTGCATTCCATCACTCAGCAAAATCTGTCAGCTTCACTTCCACGATTTACTTTAACTCCTTCTTTCCTATTGGCACCACAGTCTAAAGCACAAGTTCATGTTACATTGGCCGCTACTTTCCACTCTAACTTCCTATATTACACTCTTAACTTTCTATAAAGACTATCTTTTCAATGTCTAATTCAGGTAATTTTGTTATTCTTTAATTGAGACTGCTTTCTATGTGCTGTAACATCTTGTAGCATCAGATCTGAATGTCTCTTTCATATTTGATCTTTGCCAGTCTTTCCTTTGAGGGAATGTGTATATACATGTAGAGATGTAGGTATGCATGTTTATTTGTTTTTCCCAGGTGTAATACATGTATTGCATACATAAATATTCCTGATAATAAAAGATTAACAAAGCATTATTATTATTATTATTTTGCAAGACAATGATTTTCTAAAGGAGTTAAGTGGGGATAAATAGATCTTAAAACCACAAGGTTAGAAGAGAAAGTTAATATTACTAACAAAAAATATTTTCTAACATTTTTATGTTTATCTTTAATAGCCTTGCTGATGACATGTTGCCTGTTATCAGCTGTTTATGGGGCAATTCTCTGCAGTATACTGGCCATCCAAATCAGCAACGATGGTACTACCATTAAGCTACCACCAATGGAACTCTTCTATGTGATAATATGGCGTTTCTTAGAAATTATCTCACGTGCAGTGGCTCTGGCGTTATTCGCTGCATCTCTGAAGCTGAAGAGCCTACCCTTTCTATTGGTCATATATTTTGTATCAGTGTTGGCACCGTGGCTGGAGTTTTGGAAAAATGGAGCTCATCTTCCTAGCAGCACAGAAAATAATTCCAGTGTAGTGGGTACAGTACTGGTGCTTATCATCATCACATTACTATATGCTGCCATCAATTTCTCCTGCTGGGCAGCAGTGAAACTGCAGTTGTCGAATGAGAAAATATTTGACAGGAGAGAGAGGTGGAGCCATAGAATTGTACACTACAGCTTTCAGTTTTTAGAAAATGTGATAATGATGTTCGTGTTTATGTTCTATAGAGGGGAGATTTTACTGAATTGTTGTTACACATTAGTTGCCATACACATCATCATAATCTACTTATTAGGCTTTTCCTTTATGTGTCTCTTCTATCACTATTTTTACCCAAGGAAGTCAGACAAAATATTGTAAAGACGTACTAAAAATTAGCCAGAGTCACTGTGATATTATGTAAACATCTAAAGAAAACTCAAAAGAATAAAAATAAGCAGCTAAGGAATCATTCATGGAATAGATTTAAGTAATTTTCATTCAACAAAGTATGAAATATTCACAAAATATACATATGTACTTTCACAGAACAGTGAGTAAAGATGTTAAATATGTGACTTTTTAAAGATACTCTTCCATTAAAAAAAATTATAAACAGCTAGATCTTGGGAGTTTTCAATAAAATTGATTTTTCTCCTGTGACTGTATTACTAATTTTTGTTTCCTTCCTTCTTTTCTTCCTTCCTCCCTCCCTCTTCCCCTCTTTCTCTCTTTCTTTCTTTTCTTTTTGTGTTGTATTCTTATCCTATCACCCAGTACTGAATGTAGTGGCATGATCTTGGATCACTGCAACCTCCACCTCCCAGATTCAAGTGATTCTCTTGCCTCAGACTCCCAAGTAGGTGAGACTATGTCACCTGCCAATACACACGGCAATTTTTTTTTTTTTTTTTTTTACTAGAGACAGGGTTTCACTATCTTGGCCAGGCAGTCAGGTCACTTGAGATCAGGAGTTCAAGATTAGCCTGGCCAATACAGTGAAACACTGTCTCTACTAAAAATACAAGAACTAGTCAGGTTTGGTGGCACACACCTATATGTGTCCCAGCTACTTGACAGGTTGAAGCAGGAGAATCATCTAAACCCAGACTGCAGATGTTGCAATGAGCTGATATTGCACCACTGCATTCCCATCTGGGTGACAAGAGCAAAACCATATCTCAAAAAAAAAAAAAAAAAATTAAAGATGGCAAAATAGCAACAGTCCCAGTTTGCAGTTGACAGAGAGTGCCAGAAGATGAATGATCTCCACATTTCCAACTGAGAAATCAGACATTGGGACTGGTGAGACAGTGGAAACAGCCCAAGGTGGGCAAGCTGAAGCAGAGTGGGGCACAGCCTCAGCTGGGAGGCACATGGGGCTAGAGAACTGTCTCTCCCAGCCAAGGAAAGCCACTGGAAATTTTTCTGGACACTCTGGTACTCCGGCTCAGATACCATGCTTTTACCACAGGCTACACAACCCGCAGACCAGGAGATTCCCTCTGGCACCTACAATGCCAGTGACCTGGGTATCCAGCACAAAACTCAGTGGTTGTTTTAGTCGAGTGATACCTGGAACACTGGTGAGACAGAACTTCTCATTCTCCTTGAAAAGGGCTGAAGCCAGAGAGCCAAGTGAGCTGGCTTGGTGGGTCCCACCCCCACGAAGACTGGCAAGCTAACATCCACTGGCTTTAAATGCTGACATCCAGCACAGCAGTGCGAGATCAACCTGGGATGTTAGAGCTTGGTGGGGGGAGGGTTGCCTGCCATTGCTAATTCTCTGGTAGGTGGTTTCAACATCACCTGTGCAAACAGAGCTGCCAGGAAGTTTACACAGTGGCTGGGTGGAACCAAGCAGGGCAGCTCAGCAAGGCCTCTGCAGGTAGACTGTCAAGTAGATTCCCTTCTTGCTGGACAAGGTATCTCAAATAAAAAGACAGCAGCCCTTGAGGGTCTTACAAAGCCCCCACCATCCTGGACAGAGCACCTGGGAAAAGGGGTGGTCATGGGTTTCCCTTCAGCAACTGTAAATGTCCCAGCCCAGCATCCCTGAAGGGAGTAACAGATCCCCTCATACAGTGCTTGAGCTTCATTAAGGGATAGACTGCTTCCTCAAGTGGCTCTGGGAACCTCTCTGTATCCTAACTGGGAGACGTCATACAAGATTGCTCTGGCTGACAAATGGCAGGTACCCTTTTAAGATGAAGCTACAAGAAGAAACAACAGGCAGCAATCTTTGCTGTTTTGCAGCACCTGTGGGTGATTCCCAGGCAAGAAGGGTAGGAGTGGACCTCCAGCAAACTCCAGCAAACCTGCAACAGAGGGGCCTGACTATTAGAAGTAAAACTAGCACACAGAAACAAACAGCTTCAACATTGACAAAAGGGACATTCACTCAGAAACCCCATTCAAAAGTCACCAATTTCAAAGACCAAAGGCAGATAAAGATGGAAAGAAACCAGCACAAAAAGGCTAAAATTACCAGAAGCCAGAAAGCCTCTTCTCCTCCAAGGAATTACAACACTTGTCAGCAAGGAACCAAAACTGGAAGAATGAGGGTGACTAACTGACAGAGCAGTCTTCAGAAGTAGGTAATAACAAACTTCTCTGAGCTAAAGGAGCATTTTCTAACCCAATGCAAGGCAATGAAGAATGTTGAAAAAAGGCTAAACAAAATGCTAATGAGAATAACCAGCATGGAAAAAAACATAAACAATTTGGTGGAGCTGAAATATACAGCATCAGAACTTCATGAAGCATACAAAAGTTTCAATAACTGAATTAATCCAGCCAGAGAAAGAATATGAGAGATTGAAGATCAACTCAATGAAATAAAATGAGAAGGCAAAATTAGAGAAAAAAGAGTTAAATGAACAAGGCCTCCAAGAAATATGGGATTGTATGAAAAGACAAAATCTATGTTTGATCAGTGTTCCCGAACATGACGGGGAGAATGAAACCAAGTTGGAAAATACTCTTCAGGATATTATCCAGGATAACATTCCCAACCTAGCAAGTCAGGCCAACATTCGAATACAGGAAATACAGAGAACACCACAAATGTATTCCTTGAGAAGAGCAACCACAAGGCACAATATCATCGGATTCACCAGGGTTGAAATGAAGAAAAAAATCATAAGGGCAGCCAGAGAGAAAGGTTGGATTACCCACCAAGGGAAGCCCATCAGTCTCCCTGCAAATCTCACGGCCAAAACCCTAGAAGCCAGAAGAGAGTGGGTGCCAATATTCAATGCCCTAAAATAAAAGAATTTTTATCCCAGAATTTCATATCCAGCCATACTAAGCTTCATAAGTGAAGGAGAAATAACAGTCTCTACACACAAGCAACTGCTGAAAGTTTTTGCCACCACCTAGCTTACCCTACAACCACTCCTGAAGGAAGCACTAAACAGTGAAAGAAACAAGTACAAGCCACTGCAAAAACATAACAAATGGTAAACACCAACGATGCAATGAAGAAACTGCATCAACTAACAGAAAAAATAACCAGCTAGTATCAAAATGGCAGAATTAAATTCATACAGCACAATATTAACCTTAAATGTAAATGGGCTAAATACCCCAATCAAAAGACACAGACTGACAAATTGGATAAAAAGTTAAGACTCACTGGTGTCCTGTATTCAGGAGACCCATCTCACATACAAAGGTATAGATAAAGGGTTGGGGGAGTATTTATCAAGCAAATAAAGAACAAAAAAGCAGGGGTTGCAATCCTAGTCTCTGACAAAATGAACTTTAAGCCAACAAAGATCAAAATAAACAAAGAATGACATTACATAATGGTAAAGGTATTAATGCAACAAGAAGAGCTAACTATACTAAATATTTATGCACCCAATACAGGAGCACCCAGATACATAAAGCAAGTTCTTAATGACCTGCAAAGAGACTTAGACTTCCACATAATAATAGTGGGAGATTTCAACACCCCACTGTCAATACTAGGCAGAGCACCATGACAGAAAGTTAACAAGGATATCCAGGACTTCAACTCAGATCTGGACCAAGCAGACTTAATAGACATCTACAGAACTCTCCACCCCAAAACCACAGAATATACATTCTTCTCAGCACCACATCACACTTATTCCAAAGCTGACCACATAACTGGAAATAAAACACTCCTCAGCAAATGCATAAACAAACAAAACAAACCAGAAACCATAACAGATAGTCTCTCAGCTCACAGTGCAATCAAATCAGAATTCAGGATTAAGAAACTCACTCAAAACTGAACATCTACATGGAAACTAAATACCCTGCTCCTGAATGCATACTGGAAAAATAACAAAATGAAGGCAGAAATAAAGATGTTCTTCAAAACCAATGAAAACATAGACACAATGTACCAGAATCTCTGGGACAAATTTAAAGCACTGTCTAGAGGGAAATTTATAGCACTAAGTTCTCCTGAGAGAAGTGAGGAGAGATGTAAAATTGACATTCTAACATCACGATTAAAAAAAAAAAACTAGGGGAGCAAGATCAAACAAATTCAAAAGCTAGCAGAAGGCAAGAAATAACTGAGATCAAAGTAGAACTTAAGGAGATAGGAACAAAAAAAGTTCAAAATATCATTGAATCCAGGCTGTGGATTTCTGAAAAGATAAAAAATAAAATAAAAAAATAGACCACTAGCCAAACTAATAAAAAAGAAAAGAGAGAAGATCCAAATAGTTGCAATGAAAAGTGTTAAAAGGGATATCACCACCAATTCCGCAGAAATACATTTTCCTGAAAAGCTACAGCATGGCACAGCTCGTCACTGAACGACACTGTCACTGGCTCTTAGGAAGTCCTGTCCTCATTCAGATTGCTTTATTTCTGAGGCCAATCACATCATCACACATCTGCTACTAGCATTTGGGCCCTGACACAAGAGTGTGCATGAATACAGGTGATTGTGCTTCAAAAAAGAGGGAGAAGGAGGCCTGACTCTCCCTGCCTCTCAGGGTGCATTGTGTCTGGGGCTGGTAGGGTTGCCCCTCATTCTGTGATGTCACGGTGCCCAAACACATGCACCGAGGAGTCATCACAGACAGCCCAACCCACAGCCCATGAGGGTCCCTCAGTGCTGCCTCTGACCTCTCTGTGGCAAGCCAAATGGCCACGGGAAGACCCCATGCAGTGTTAGAACAATGCCGCTGAGGGCAGGGATTTTAGATCAGACGGTCGTGGATTCTACCTGTGCAATGGACTCTACTACTTTCTAGCTATCCCGCTACCCATCAGTTACATTAACAGTCCACGTTTCAACTTCCCCATTTGTGAAATGGAGACAATGTCTTAGTTACAGAGGTAGCAAGTCTACTGCATATCGAGAGCTTAGCACTGAGCCTGGCTCTTAGTAAGTGTTACTCATTATCATGTATCATTATTATTATTATTACTACAACTACATTTTTTTTAGGTGGATCCTCACTCTGTCACTCAGACTGGAGTGTAGTGGCATGATCTCTGCTAAATGCAACTTCTGCCTCCTGGGTTCACGTAATTCTCCTGCCTCAGCCTCCCTAGTAACTGGGGTTAGACATGCACCACGATGTCCAGCTCATTTTTGTATTTTTAGTAGAGAAGGGGTTTCACCATGTTGGATAGGATGGTCTAGAACTCCTGACATCAAATGACCCACCCACCTCAGCCTCCCAAAGTGCTGGGATCACAGGTGTGAGCCACCATGCCCAGCCTACTACTACTATTTTAAAAGCCTCTACCCATAAAGGATCACAATTTGTTGAAAAGGAAGTGCAGAGGCTAAAGGGTGTCTTGAGAAAGGCATTGATCAAAATCATACTAAGAATCTGAAAATCAGAAGCCAGGGTTGGGTGAGAGTAGAGCCTGGATGAAATAATATTATTAAATAGCTTTTCAAGTACAGACATTGAAAAGCTACAAGCTGGAAAGGGGGCCAAAACTAACTTTTTTTTTCTTGCGTGACTTACCATATGCCAAATTCCAGACTGCAGAGTTTACATTTGTTACTGCATTTAATCCCCATTACAACCCTCTGAGGTTGCTATGATTCCCACTTCACAGATAAGGCAACAGGCCGAGACACCAAGCCAAACAGAAGGGATGGGCTGGTGTCTGTCTGACTCCAACACCAATGGTCTTTTCTCTATAACCTAAAGCAGTAAAATCCCCACAGCATCTACCTTATTACAGAAATTATAAGATTCACAGGTTCAATATATCCCCCCCGACACCACCACCAATATTACAGCTGCACAATGGCAGTCCTCACTGAGGAATTAATCCAGCCCAGGGAGACAGACATGTGAGCAGCTAAGTATAATGTTGAATGCTAAAGGCTCTTTGTGTAGCAAGAACAAAACTCTGGCAGAGCACAGAGGAGTGTTTCTTTCTGTTGGAATCAGGGAAGGAATAAAGAAAGCCTGGGGCCTTTTACAGAAGAGGAAAGCTGGGTGCAGCTCCCTAGTGTTATCTGGTGGAAAGGTCTGGGAAGAGCATTCATGTTGGATGTTGGCTGGAGCAAAGGAATCCAAGGTATGGAGGTAAGGAGGCAAGTAGCTTGTTCCAGAAAACACTTAGACCACCGAGGCAGATGTAAGCCAGAATGCAAAGTGCAGAGGAGCTGGAAAAGTAGGACGCCACCTAAAGGCAAGATGCCTTGCATGACAGGCTAGGGGTTTTAGACTTTTTTGTAGGCAGTGGGGAGCTACCAAAGGCTTCCCAGTAAGTGAACAGCCTGATCACATCAATATTTCAAGGTATTACATCTGACAACTGTGTAGAGGATACAGCAGGGAGAGAATGAAGGCATAAAAGTGACATTCTTCCAACTCATGTTGCAGCAAGCCTGCCTAAGGAATCTGCAGGGCCTTTTTAGTAGGCATTAAAGGGGGCATTTCAAGGAAGCCACAAGGTATGGTTCTTCAAAGAGCTCATAGTACATACCCATCTTTCCTGACCTTCCTCCCAGGTCCCTGATGAGGAAGACTGCCAGGGGGAACAGCGGGACCCATCACCCTTCATTCCCACTGCACTGAAAGGCAAAATGGCTTTGTTAGTATAACAAGTACTTTAGAAAAAACTTGTTGGCCAAGACACCAGCATTTCCAGGGCAGACTGAAGTGGTTGTAGCTAATACCTGAGAAGGCCTCAAAAGAGAGCAACAGTCCAGGACCTCCTCAGGATAGCCTGGGAGAACAAGATGGTCTGGCACAGGAGATTAGGCTCAGATTTCTGTCCATTTATTCATTCATTCATTTACAAGTGCACATTGAATGCTTGCTATGTACCATGCCCTATGTTGGGTGCTGGCATGCCAAGGTGAAAGAGGTATCATTGCCACTCTCAAGGTTATAGTCCAGTGTAGAAGATGGAAAGGTAAACAGAAAACATTTATAAAGTGGGAACGGCATAACAGAAGAGATTCTCAAGGATCACATAGGAGCAACAACACTCAGGTGACAGAATAAATACGAAGGATCTTTTTGTAAAGATACTAAGTACCAAGCATATATGTAGGTGGCCATGTTCTGGACTGGACATCAGCTGTGTTTTGAAGAATGAATAGCTAGTTAATGAAGAGTTAAATGTTTCAGGCAGAAGACATAGTATCTGCAGCCAAGGAAAAGAATATGACACAGTGGAATCCACAAGTGGCCCGTGTGTTTGTGTGTGTACATATTTTTGAGACAAGGTCTTGCTCTGTCACCAGGATGGAGTGCAGTGGCATGATCACTGCTAACTGCAGCCTCGAACTCCTGGGCTCAAGCAATCCTCCCCACCTCAGCTTCCTTAGTAGCTGGGACCACAGATGCATGCCACCATGTGTGGCTAATTTTTTAATTTTTTGTAGAGACAGAGGTCTCTTTACATTGCCAAGGCTCGTCTCAAACTCCTGGGCTCAAGTGATTCTCCTGCCTCAGCCTCCCAAGTAGCTGACATTACAGGCATGTGCTATCACACCTGGCTAATTTGGTATTTTCAGTAGAGACAGGTTTCAGCTCATTGGCCAGGCTGGATGTGAACTCCTCACCTCAGGTGACCTGCCTGCCTCAGCCTCCCAAAGTGCTAGGATTACAGGCATAAGTCACCATGCCCAGCCTGATATTTGTATATTTAAGATCACTCTGGCTACTGCAATAAGATCAGAAGATTATATGATATGAAACTGAGATATGATGAGAGTATAGATTGGAAAACCATCTTGAATTTCACTGCTAGTCAGTTAGATCTGAGTGGAATTAATACAGATGAAAACAGACCCTGAACTAAGAGAGGGGTGGTGGTGATGGAGAGGAGGGAACCTGCTGGAGAGGTGTTGAGAAGAGAATGAGATTTGGTAGGTCATGATAGCTGTCTGAGGTCAAGAGGGAAAGTCAAGAGTCAAGAGGGAGTGTCAGGATTTTGGCCTGAGCCAGGAACAAAAAAAAAAAAACAAACAGGAGATGGCTCGATTGGTCAGGGATTGGGGTTTAGTTGAAGAAAAGCAAAAGATGAGAGTGAATGAGAAACAAGGATAATCGAACAATAATGACGGCTGGCACAGTGGCTCACGCCTGTAATCTCAGCACTTTGAGAGGCTGAGGTGGTAGGATCGCTTGAGCCCAGGAGTTCAAGACCAGCGTGGGCAACATAGTGAGACCTCATCTCTACAAATATTTTTTAAAAAATTTTTAATGTAATGTTGAAGTAATATATTTTGTTTTCTAGACTAATTGGAGAAGGAAATTGAGGAAGAAGTGGACTGAGAGATGACTACAGATGGAGAGGCAGCATGGCTAGAGATCTTATTAAAAGGTGAGAGTAGGCACAGTAAACACAAAGGGGTGGAAGACATGGAAGGATAAGACGTCATGGTCAGAGCATGCATCTTGAGTTAAAGGTTTTGGAGATGCAACCATTTCAGAGGAGGACAAAACCAGAGTGTGGCCATAGGTGTGAGCAGCTGTGAATGTCACTCTGAAGCTTGACTGTTGGACATGTCATCCTCATAGACACAGAAGTCAGGATGATGGCAGGTCTTGGGGTGAAGGGGAGGACCTGGAGCCAAGCCCTACAGTCTTCCATGAGCGAGGAAAATGACACTTATAAGGACTATGGCAGGAAGGTGTGGGTTTCCAAGAAGCAGCGTTTACATTAGGACTGGAACAACATGGCTTGGAAGCAGAACTGGGAACCTTTAAAGTTGTTTGTTGGGGCTACTTTTCTGGCTAGCACTGGGGATGGGAGAAAAGCAAGCTTCAGAGGAGACAAAGCAGGAAAAGCAGTGCCCTTGTATAAGAGCGAGTTTCTGTTCAAATCAGGAAGAGGGTGCAGAATTCCAGGAAGAAGTGGAGGCTGCAGGGGAGTTTATTTACTCTGCTGTAGTGTTCCAGAGGCCCTGCAGGAGAAAGAGAATGCATTAGGGAAGCAGCAGCCCAGGTGGCATGAAGACAAGAAGAATGCTTGGTGGTGCTTGAGACCCTCCTCACTGCCACCTTCACAGTCATCCTGGTCTCTCCCTCCCTCACTCCACATCCAATTGGTAACCAAGGCCTGTTGACTTTGAAATCAAAGTAAATAGCTTTCTTGTCTCTCCCCGTCATTCTTTCTCCACTGCCTGTGCCTGAAACAAAGCTCTCATGGTCTCTTTCTTGTGTGAAGTGCTGCAGAGGGAACTTGTTTGGCCTCTCTGTCTCCTGTCTCAATTATCCTTCCCCAACCTTCCTCCATGCAACTGATAGGTTTTTTTTTTATCCACAAATCTGATCCCATTATTCCACCACTCAGCATTCTTCAATGACCCCTCAGTATTCAACATGATGCAGTCTGGCCCACTGGCATGGCATCCAGAGTCTGTCAGTACTGGGGACAGACAATCTGACGTTGGACAGAAAACGGCTGCCCTGTTTAATGTCATCTTCCACTACTCCCCCTTCAGAACATTATGCCCTCATAGTACTCAGTTATTCCCAGCTCTCAGAAGGTGTTACTATGTCCTCTCATGCATCCAGATTTTGCACATTCCCCAGTGCACCTGCCTACATGTTATTCCCCCTTACCACACTTTGCCTCTGACAGACCCACTCCAGAATCCACTCAAATGTTTTTTCCTCTAAGGGGTCGGCCTTCATTCCCCTGGACAGCTTAGGTGATCTTTTTCTTAAGCTCTCCCCACACTTTGTGCAACATGCCATGAGAGTAAGTATGTACTGCACTAAATATGCTACTGTTTCTCTACCCACGTGACAATAACCTCTTTTTATTTTATTTTTTTTTAAGGGGAGTTTTGCTCTTGTTGCCCAGGCTGGAGTG